TAAGGCTGCGGCGGCGGCGGCGCCGGGACCATGAGCAGAGCCCCCAGCGCGGCCGGACGGCGGGGCCGCCCCTCTGCCCCGCGCCCTCCGCCCGGCCCGGCCCGCCCGCCCCGGGGCCCTCTCGCACCGACGCCGACACCGCCCGGGCCATGCCACGCCGCGCCGGCTCGGCGGGGACACGGGCGGCCGCCGCGGGTAGCGATGCGCGGGGGTAGGTAGGGCTGACTGGCGGACTGACGGACTGACGGACGGACGGACGGACGGGGCCGCCGAGACGTCGAGGGAGAGGGAGAGAAGCGAGAGCGAGCGGCGGAGCGAGGAGCGGCGGAGCGTGTCCCCGTCCCCGCGTGTCCCCAACCCCGCGTCAGGGCGATGTCGCCGCGGCAGCAGCCACAGCCCGTCTGACCGCCGCCGCCTCTCCATGTCCCGGCTCGTTATTTATTATTATTATTATTATTATTGTTATTATTATAATTTTTCCTCCTTTGATTTCTCTTTGGGAAAAGCACTTTGACTCCTGACTGCTCTACCTCAGACCCGAGAAAAACTCATCACGCTCGCTTTTTGGCGGTTTTGTTTTTAATTTTTTAATTTTTATTTTTTCTGAACGCCGATCTTTATAGCCGTTATTGTTTTATTGTTACTATTATTATTATTATTATTATTATTATCCGTGTGGTTGGTAGCGGCCGGGATCCTACGGCTGTGTCGAAGCGCTGGGCAGTGGGGGGTTCTCCTGTGTACCCCTCCTAGGACACTCGAACGAAGATTTTTCTTCTTCCTCCCTTTCTTTTTCTCCTCCTTCACTTCTCCAAGGCTTTTAAAACAAACACTTACACACACAGGAAAAAAAAAAAGAGAGAGAGAAAAACAAAAACAAAAAGCAAACCTACGCCGGTGTTGTCATCTTTCTGAAAAAAAAAAAATTGTTATTTTAATTTTTTTTTTCTTGACACCTGGGAAACCGCTGCCCCCCTCAGAACTAACCAAAGACAATGGTTCACTGTGCAGGCTGCAAAAGGCCGATCTTGGACCGGTTTTTGTTGAATGTACTGGACAGGGCTTGGCATGTGAAGTGTGTTCAGTGCTGTGAATGTAAATGCAATTTGACAGAGAAATGCTTTTCGCGAGAAGGCAAGCTTTACTGCAAAAACGACTTCTTTCGGTAAGTACCGGCCCCGCCGCTCCTCTCCATCCGTTTTTCATCTCCATTTTTTTCCCCTTTATTTCTGCTGTTTCCCCCCGTTGTCAGCGGGACCCACAAGCGCCTCTTCCCTCCCCGTGACACGCGAACGTCTCGAACCGCTGTTATTTCTCCCGGTGACCGGCGGCGGGGGTCGGGCCCGGGAAGGGCCCTTCGGGCCCTGCGTGTCGGTGACGGGCCGATCTCGAGTTCCCCAAAGTTCCTCCCGAACTATCGACCGGCGGAGCGGTGCGGGGGCGGTGCGGGCCCGTGGCGGCGGATGTGCGGGGGCCGTCCCGGGCCCGATGCCGGGAGCCGGGGTGACCCCGCCGGGGCTTTCCGCGGCCGTGAGCGCGGCGCTGCCCGGGCCAGAGCCCCGCGTTGTTCCCCGCACTCTCGGGCCCGGTGCCGCCGGGGAAGGCCCGGTGCGGGCGCTCCGCGGGCCCATCGCCTCCCGTCCAAGCGAGCTCAGGCTGCCCCGGAGGGCAGCGACCCTTCCCTGCCGGATGGATGGAGAGGGCAGCGGGTACCGGCGCTCTGACGCCGCCGCTTCCCCCGCGCATCCCGGCGCCGGGATGAATCCCGGGCTCGGAGCGGCCGCCGGTGCCGCTGTCCGGCCGGGCCCCGCCGCCGCACTCCGGCGAGAAGGGCAAGGACCGGCTCGGGGCCGGGGGCGGCCGCCACCGCACACCCGCACAACGCGCGGCCCGAGCCCCGCAGCCGCTTCTTCCTGGGCGCGGGGACCGGCACTGCCCTGAGCCCGCCGCTTCTCCGCGGGGATGGACCCGGCCCTGCCCCGGTCCCGAGAGCCCCGCGGGGCCGAGCGGGACACGGGAGGCCCCCGGCCCCGCCGCGGGTCCGGCCCCGCCGTCCCCCCGCTCCCCGCGCTGGCCTTGCCCGCGCCGGCGGCTCCTCCGGCCGGGGCCGGCAGCAGCGTTCGGAACGGATGGAATTTCTGCGCGGTGTTTATCAGATCGTCGTTAACGCGTTGTCGGGGCGCAGGGGACACCCCGGGCAGCGCAGCCCCGGGGTCCATCGGTCCCGCAGCCACGCTGCCCGGACCGGGTTTGATTTTTATTTTTAAAAAAATACGGCGTCAAGAATTCGCTCGTTAAGAAGAGAGAGCCCTCCGCGGGGTCGCCGTATTTTGTTTAATGCCGTTTTTGCGCGGCCGAGCGGGGCGAGCGGAGGCCGCGGTGAGGGGCGCGGGGCCCCGCGGGCTCGGCGGGCACTGCTGACCCCCCTGCCCGGCCTCTCTCCGCAGGTGTTTCGGGACCAAGTGCGCGGGCTGTGCCCAGGGCATCTCCCCCAGCGACCTGGTCCGCAGGGCGCGGAGCAAAGTGTTCCACTTGAACTGTTTTACGTGTATGATGTGTAACAAGCAACTCTCCACCGGCGAGGAGCTCTACATCATAGACGAGAACAAGTTTGTCTGCAAAGAAGATTACCTAAATAACAGCAATACTGCCAAAGAAAACAGCCTGCATTCAGGTGAGGGAGCGCGGCCCGGGCGATGCGGGCAGGGATGCACTCAGCCCCGGCTGCTCCTTGGGATGAGATGCTCTTCTCCCTTCTTCTCTCCCTTCCTTTCTCCTCTTCTTTCTCCTGTCTTTTCCTTTCTTTCTTCTTTCCCTTCTTTCTTCCTTCTTTTTTCTTTCCTTTCTCCCTTCTCTTCTCTCTTCTCCTCTCCGTTCTTTTTCCTGTCCTTTCTCCTCTCCCTTCTTTTTCCTGTCCTTTCTCCTCTCCCTTCATTTTTCTGTCCTTTCTCCTCTCCCTTCTTTCTCCTGTCCTTTCTCCTCTCCCTTTTTTTTCGTTTCATTTCTTTCTTCTCTCCATTGTTTCTCCTTTATTTTTCTTCTCCCTTTCTCCTCTCCTTTTTTTCTCCTCTCCCCTCCTCTCCCCTGTCGTACCGCGGCCTGTCTGTCACGGTTGTTATTTTCCCCCGGCCACCCCCGGCTGACCATGACCCGGTTTGCTCTCCCGCAGCCACCACCGGCAGTGACCCCAGCCTGTCCCCCGACTCTCAAGACCCCTCCCAGGACGACGCCAAGGACTCGGAAAGCGCCAACGTGTCCGACAAGGAGACGGGCAGCAACGAAAACGACGACCAGAACCTGGGGGCCAAGCGGCGGGGACCCCGCACCACCATCAAAGCCAAACAGCTAGAGACTCTGAAAGCCGCCTTCGCGGCCACCCCAAAACCCACCCGGCACATCAGGGAGCAGCTGGCGCAGGAGACTGGCCTCAACATGCGGGTCATCCAGGTACCGCCGCCTCCGGGCACCGGGCACGGCTCCGGGGGATGCGGGAATGCGACTCTGGGGATGCGGGGATGAGGAGCGGCCGGTGCTCGGCACCCCCCGCACAGCGGGGCCGGAGAAAGCCCCGCCGACCTTTTAAATCGTTGTTACCGAGGTGCCCCGGCAGCTTCCCGGTGCTTCCCGGCCCCGTCGGCTCCTTCCCGGGAGCCGCGGGTTTATTCTCAAAAATCCTGAAGAAGCTGAAAGTAGTTTCAAAATTAATAACCAGAAATGTGAGGGGTTAATGGGTAAATAAGAATGACAATGCGCTGGAATTATTAAAAGGTTTATAAACCCGCAGCGCCGGGGTAATGGGGGGTTAAAGGACCATTAAAGACGAGGTTAGATTGGAGAGGCTCAGTGTGAGGGTAATTAGCAGTAATCTTGTCAGGGTAATAAGAATTAACTCAATCATTCTTGACCTGCAGCCGGTGGGAGCGGGGCCGCTGTCACGCGTGGGTTTGGAACGAGAAAGAGCTGGGCTTGGGATGCACCAGCAAAAAGACGGGGAAAGGGGAAAAAGGCGACCCTGGGATGGGGATGAGGATGGGAACGGGGGCTCGGGGCGGCGGCAGGAGCGGGATCCCCGATGCCGCGGCTTCCGTGACCGGCGCCTCTCCCGCCGCCCCCGCAGGTCTGGTTCCAGAACCGGCGCTCCAAGGAGCGGCGGATGAAGCAGCTGAGCGCGCTGGGCGCCCGGCGACACGCCTTCTTCCGCAGCCCCCGCAGGATGCGACCGCTGGTGGACCGGCTGGAGCCCGGGGAGCTCATCCCCAACGGGCCCTTCTCCTTCTACGGAGGTGGGTAACGCGCTCCCCCCCTGCGGCCCCTCGCCCCCTGTGCCTGCGGACACCCCGCGCCGGGATGCACGGACACCCGCGGGGACACCAAGGGGACACGCCAGGCTCCTGGCTCCGCTCCCGGCAGCGCTGCCCGCAGCCCTGGGGCTGTCCTGGGGCCGTCCCGCTGTCCTGGGGCTGTTCCACTGTCCCGGGGCCATCCCGCCCGGCTTCCCCGCCTGTCACGGGACTTCCCTCTCCCGGGGGTGGCGGTCGCGGTGCTGCCAGCAGGACCCTGGTGTTCCCCCGGTGTTTTTGGGATGCCGGCTCGTGTCGGTGCCTCTGCTGCTCTGCTGCCAGAGCCCGGCCAGCCCAGGAACACGTTTCCCCCTCGGGTTTGTGGGTGACACCCCGAGCCCCCCCAGCCGCGCGGCCGTGGCAGCGCTCCCGCGTCGTTCCCGCTCGGCTGCCCGCCTGTTACCTCCCCTCTGTCTCTCCTTGTCCGCCAGATTATCAGAGCGAGTATTACGGCCCCGGAAGCAACTACGATTTCTTCCCGCAAGGACCGCCTTCGTCTCAAGCGCAGACCCCCGTGGATCTCCCCTTCGTGCCCTCCTCGGGGCCGTCGGGCACCCCGCTGGGGGCCATGGACCACCCCCTGCCCGGACATCACCCCTCCAGTGAGGCTCAGCGCTTCACTGACATCATGTCGCACCCTCCGGGAGACTCGCCCAGCCCCGAACCCAACCTGCCCGGGTCCTTGCACTCCATGTCCGCGGAAGTTTTTGGCCCCAGCCCCCCCTTTTCGTCGATATCCGTCAACGGTGGTGCTAACTACGGCAATCACTTGTCCCACCCTCCAGAAATGAACGAAGCAGCTGTGTGGTAGCTTTAAAAAAACAAACTGGGTCTAAGTAAGTGATGATCATCTAGTCTGCTTATTTGTTATGGTGTACAGAAATGAATTAATATAACATCTCTCCTGCCCTAAGACAATATTACCTTGGGAACGAACTGAATCCAATCGCTCCAAGGCAAGCTTTGCTCTAGACCAGGACAATCTCCATGTTATGGTTGTGTCAAACAAGCGAGGGGACTTTTTTTGTACCATTGACAAAGAAACTGGGGAAGCTGTACAGTAAAGTGCTGCCATTACCGTAGGATGGCGTGAGTTTGATTTACCCTGTTGGATGTCATCCTAAGAGCCACAATCCTTAGAAACTTCTTGTTTAAAAAAAAAAAAAGAAATTAATAATTGAATGAAGGAAAGGTCAAAGAAAAGGGGGAAAAAAAAAGCTTCAAGAACTCTCTAGCGTTCCTGGTTAAGGATGGTTCTGGCATTATGAATCTGTTTGTTCATTTTTGTCTCTCAGAAAGTTCAACAACAAGAAACTCTTTTTAGCTTCAGCCATTTCAGCCTGCTGACGATCAGGTGGGACAACTTTTCTTTTTTCCTTTCTTTTACTTTTTTTTCTTTTCTGTTTTGTTTTGGTTTTGGTTTTGGTTTTTTTGGTTTGTTTTTTTTTTCTTTTCCAAAAATAGCAGATACTAAATGTTAAGCCCTCAGCACCAACTCTTCTACCTTCACAAAGCTACACGTACAAAACCTCCTCATCATAGCAAAGGTCACCACCCAGACCTCTAACGAAAATGACTTGAAAAAACAAACAAACAAACAAAAAGTATTCTACCTTCACAGAGAGAGAAAAGCTAAACAAAAAGACTCTATTGAACTAAAAACAGTCAACTGTTTACGTCTAATGTTAAATTCAGGAGCTCAATGTTTTACTAATAAATCCTGTTTTAGAAAAACCTCTTGTTCAAAAGCAAAAGATTTTGAGCAACCAACCAAAATAGTTCATTTTCTTTTCTGTAGATGTTCTAACAGATTGCAGGGCTTGTGGTTCACTGTGCTAGTTTGTAAAAGGTGTTGTTTACAGAAGGCAAAGAAAAAAAAAATCCACAAAACCCAGACAGTTGCCAAATAAAGTAAATATATAGCACAAATACTGTAAGGTGCTTTGCACCAGCAACCCGAGAAGGTGTTTAAAAAGTGTTACAAGGTTAAAAAGAAAAAAAAAAAAAGACAAACAAACATCTTTGCTAATTTTTAGTCCTGTTGAACATTCATGGAATTGTTAATATGACTTATATAGACCCACACAGGTTTTATTTTTGTGTCTTTAAAATAAAAGTCCAAAATATTTAAATTTTATGGTCAAATATGCAGTCAACAGCTGCTACTTTTTTCTTTATATATTAAATTTCTCATATGTCTTTTATTGTTCTAATAAACCTAAGCTTGTGTGACCTCCAGTGCATATTAGACCATTCACTGTATGAAAGAAAACATGTTGGATAAAATTTGTGCGTTTTTAATAAAATTAGAAAATCTGATGTTTAGATAACTTGTGTTTCATTCGATGTTTTGAGCAGTTTTTGAAATTGATTCTCTTGAGTAAAATAGCCCTGAGAGAGAATGATCCACTCTGCTGATAGTCCTGTAGAGCTCTTTTGCTTCGGTAGAATTCTAAACCCTGGTGTCGATGCAGGGAGCGGCCAGAGGCAGCTCCAGCCTTTCTTTCCATCTCCAGGCTCAGTGGTTGAAGTCCAAATACCCTGTTAGGCTGTACATTGAATTTTAAAATTGGAAACTAATCAAATTATTAAATATCCTCAGTTATTTGTGGTCTGTGCTAAGAGAAAACACTCGAAATGCTTATTTTATGCGTAAACAAAATTGTGTTGTGACTGTAAAATGCTTGCAAAGATATGGTTTATAATTGATCCAGTTTTAGTTAATTCTCCAAAGATAATTTTGGGGTTTTTTTTTCCTAATTGGATGGTTTGAACGCAGCGTAACCTCAATGTCCTGAAAGTAATTTTAATCCTTTTTTTTTTTTAGAGCTGAGACAAAGTCAATTGTTTAACAGCGTTTGGTCTTTCTGAAGTTCTCTAAAGGGCAGAGGGGGAGAATACTTTTCTTTGCACTAGATAGAGACCCATTTTCTTGGAGAAAAATGAAACAAAAAAATTCTGGAGCCTTGTGAAAATGCCAGATTTCGTGTTTTAATTAGAAATCATTGCAGAATCCTAAATATTCAGTTCTTCAAAAAGCAAAAGTCTCACTTATTCCAGGAGGACTTTGACGTGTGTTAGAAACAAAGAGTCAGGTTCGGTTCTGAAAATGGTTTAATTCTGGTTTAAATGTTTTCCACCTGCTGGGCTGATGGAATGGGATGATCTGTAATTGCATCTTTTCCTTCTTCTCTCAACTAACCGTGGCTCAGGCTTCTTTTTTATTTCATGTAGACACGGAATTTGACGCTAAACCCCAGATTTCTACATTCCCAGTGATTCCATTATTTATCTCTTTGGACTGGGGGGGGGGGGAAAAACCCACAACCTCAAAATGCTTTAAAGTTGTATGTTTGTAATATTCAATGGTGATTTTTGATTTTGTTCACTACCTAATTTCTATGCCCAGCAGAGGGGCCAACTAGACGAAGCAATAGTTCACTTTAAACACAAAATGTCTTATATAATAATAGTATAAAGAAAAAAACTATCTGCAAGGGATCTGTTAGTGTTTCTAAAAAAAATAATTCATGCTTTATTAAATACAGGGGAGACTTCTTAAACTCCTGGGCTCCGTGTCTAACTCATTTATTTGTCTTTTGTACTATTGCCATGTTTTGTTGCTCTGGTTTGCATTTATATAAGCAAAGGAATGGGTGATTTATTTATTCCAAACTTCTACTTATCTGGGCAAGACAAATACTGCTGTTTGTGCTTCTGGTCTAGGCTGCTGGTTTATTGTTGAATCAATTATTTGAAATTAGAATTTCACCAAACAGGCTTGGTTTGTTAGAAAACATGTCTGCCAAGTGATTGGGGGTTTCATTTATTTTTTTTTCTTTAATTTGGTAACGAGGTCCTTGTACAGTTTATCCCGTGCTCGTTTAGGCGGCGATGTGATACGGTTCAGTTTAGGTCAGTGGCTCTAAAAGGGAGGGAGGAGAGCCTGTCCTTTTGTCAATGCTCCCATCCCTTCCCCAGGGGCTTTGGGGGGAGCCCAGGAGCCGTTCCCGTGCCGGAGGTCGAGCGTGTCCCCCGGTGCTCCCGGGGCTCCGCTCCGGAGGCCCCGGCCCTTGGCAGATTTGAATTCCGTGCGCTCTTCAGTGGCGAGCTCGGCGCTTCTGAAGACCCTAATCCAGCAACAATTGCACAGTCAAAACTCCTTTTGAAACCATTGTCGCCTTGGGTTCTTGTAAGTCCTTGTTTACAAGAGCGTTTCCATTGACTCCGGGGCGGGCGTTCCGTGGCGAGCGGAGGTCTGTGGGAGAAGGGCCTGGAGGAGTTGCTGCTGCTGGGGTGGGTTCTCCACAAGGAGATGCTGCTGCTGGGGTGGGTTTTCCAGGAGGAATTGCTGCTGCTGGGGTGGGTTCTCCATGTGCATGGTCCTTCTTTCCCGGCAGGAGCGTGGGCGTGCCACGCGCGGCTCTCCGTGTGCGCCGCGTAACGCCGCGAGCGCTTTCTGAAGTAATTGCTCTCTTTTGATCTTTCCCTTCCTCCACGGCCGCTGGTTTTCCGTGACCTCAGAGGGGACGTTGCAGCCACACAGGGCCCTGGCTGCTCATCCAGCTCGGGATGGCAGCGGTGGGGTGAGCGCGGAGCAGGGAGCTCGGGCTGGGAACGTGCCTGGGCTGAAGACTTGTGCAAACCCCCGTGGCAGACACGTCCCCATCACTGGGAGAAAGGTTCAAGGCACATTTTGTGAGTATGACCCATATTGAGCTAATCTATGTGAAGGAGGTTTTTTGGAGTGTCTGTAAAACGCCAGGAATTTCCAGCAGCCAAACAGCTGCTTTTGGCCCAAACTGTCCCCGCGCTGCCCCCACCAATGCTCCTCTCTGCCCATTCCAGGCCCTTCCAGGTCACTCAGACCTTTCCTTGGGGATGGAAGGGGATTTGGGAAGATCTGTGTCCCAGGAGGAAGAATGTACTTAAATTGTGATTTGTAGATGAATAATGTATATATATATATATATGTTATTTTAATATGGGTCCCCAGACGCTGAGCGATGGGCACATGATACAAACTGATAAACAAATATAATTTTAAAATATCAGTGGTAATCTACATACTTTTGCCATCCAAGTAGTGGTGGGTATTGCAGTGTCCTCTAAGAATGGCAAAAGGAACTATAGTCTGGATTTTTTTCCTAGAACAAGTGTGTTGTCATTAAGCTTTGCATGTCCTTAAAATATGAAATTTAAGCATTTGCAATCTCCTTTTCTGTTACTACCCCAGTAGATAAATTCATATCTATTAAGAATAAACAATTGATACATATCCTTATACGCTGGTGAACTGGGAACAGGGAATTGTGATACTGGAGCAGGTTGTGGAAGGTCTTTTCTTTGTGTCTGCCATGGCACTGAGGTGCTCAGCATTCTTCACGCCAACAAAACACCCATGGAGTTATAAATGAAACTAATGGGACAATTAAAATATATTTTGATTATAAATCCTTCTGGGATTGCCATCTTTGCTTCTTTGTCAATAGTATTTGTGGTGGTTTAGCTACAAAATACAGAGTGGTGCTTGAAAAGTGGAGTTTGGTGATGCCTGGAGAGTTTTTTGTTCATTAAATGCAGAATTTCAATGCAGAAATGGAAGAGTAAATGTGGCCTTACAGTGAGGTGGCCTCAAGAATTCTCAGTCTGTGTCCTTGGGGTTGCTGGGACTGTGATGGTGGGGAGTTGGTGTCCTGCAATGTTCTTCCCGTTGCACATGGGATCACCGGGGGGATGGAGGTTGTTGGTTTTATTGGCATCTCGTGGTTCAACTCTTGGAGCATCCCCTGGCCTTCTGCATGACATTCCTGGGACAAGGGGCACGACTGGGCTCTCTTACACCTCCTGTTACAGGCTGCCATCAAATGCAGGACCAGCTCTGCTTTGGTGGTGTTCAGTTCAGTGTCCAGCGCGTGGTTTTGGCAGCTGCAAGAATTAGGGATAATTTTTCCTCCTTGGTTTTACTACAAGCTTTACTACTTCCTGCAGAATCTGCCCCTTCACAGGGGCTGCTGGGATCTCACGTGGTTTGGAATGCAACCCTTGGCTGTGCTCACCAAGGAGCCCAAGTTTGCAGGGCAGGTCTGGCGTGGTTTTGTCAGAAGGTTTTCGTACGGTGTGAGAACCATCACCCAGCACAGACTGTAAACCTGGGCTGGAAAATCCCCCCTGGCTCTGGCAGAGCTGGAGTGAGAGGAATTCCAAGGGGTTGTGGTGAATTTTGGGGAGTGAAGCCCACGGGAGATGCTGCCTTGCACACTTGGCTTGTGCTCAGCATCTCCAGAACATCTGTGTGCTGCTGTGTCTGTGCTCAGCAGAGCACGTGTGGGGTTTGCACAGGGAGGTTCTTCCTTGTTGAAAATCAGATTTTTTGCTCCATCTAAAACAAGTTTTCATCTAGTTTTTAAATTGACTTTGGGTGGCCTTTAAATTTCTTGTCTGCTGGAATCATCTTTAGGCTGTGGATCTCTTCAGATACACTCTACTCCTTCTATTTTTCTGTGTAAGAACCATTAAGGGTTGATAAAATCTTTAAAACAATTGTGGATTTTGAATGAGTGATGGGTTAGAAATAGCAGAAGTACTCAAGTAAATAAAAAGACAGAAGAAAAATAGTAATAAATATTTATAAGGAGAGGGTTTTTATGTACATAATCTAAATTTCCTGTTATGTAATTTGTTTTAGTGGTGGGTTTGCGGGTGGTCTTTTCTGATTTATTTTTTTTCTTCTTTTTTTTTCTCTTTTTTGCTGATAAATTGTGTTTCTCATTTTAAAAAAAAGAAAAATTTTAAATGAACTGGCGCGACTGAAACGAAAAAGGTCAGTTTGGAAAATGACATTTTCCAGCCAAAGTGTTGGAAAGATAAGCTCAGCCCCCGGCTTGTCACTATTTTTGGCCAGCATGGAGCCCTCTGTATATGGGTCAAATTCTAACCTTGATGAAGCAATGCAATTAAATCCAGGAGAGGCGGCTCCAGGGGCGGGTGATTCCCGCGGATCTCGC